AACCTGGCCAAAAAAACAAAGTGATCAGTTTTTTGGAAGGACTAGCTCTGTGAGTTGGCTCATTTGCTAGTTGAGTGAGCTCTGGAGGTGGCTTATGCAGGACTGTGTGAGAAGCCCTGTGGGGGCTTAAAGGCAGGTAGAATTGCACCCTGCATGCTTAAAACAAGAAGAAATAGCTGAAGCTGGATTTTCTGTAGGTAAAACTGTCAATAAAACTATGCCACTAAGCTTTATATGTCTGCTTATTGTGTTTGAGCCACAATCCACCCCTCCCTACACAGGAATCTGGATATTGAAAGTGAACTAAACCGAACTGTGCCTACTTGACTACAACTGGTGGAACACTTGGCTGCTTTTTTCCCTTCTCCCACATGAAAATTCTTGCTTAAATGCCAATTGTATTGTTTACATGGACAGGAAAAACTACGAACTATCCTGAAGCTCTGGGGAGGAAAAGAAATCTTGTGGGATGTATCTGTGCTATGGCAGTCCAGGTTTATGGGAATGCTATAGGAGGCAGAGGAGGAATGCTAGGGGAGAAGTACTGAGGAAACAAAACAGCTTCAAGCTGTTCCCAGATGTTTTGGACTACATGCTGCTGTCATCCCTCTGAAATTCTCACTGCCTTTATATGTGCTTTTGCTTGAAAACATTAAGTGGTTTCTGAGGGCATTCACCTTACTTTATGGACAGAGCTGGGGAAGGAGTCCAGCCTGTGGAGTACTGGACTCACAGGGGCTGACAATCACCTCTGGAAGGACATTCATTTTTTCTTGTAAACCACTGGTGTGTGTAAAGTTAAAACCCTTGCCCAGCTCAGCCCAAGTGGCTGCGTGGACGGTGGACGCACTGGTCCCTGCAGAATGCAAACAGTAGGTGACATCTGGCAGACTCTGTCCCCGTACCCTTCAGCTTCAGAGCAGGCTGGAGCGGGTGCCAAATCTGAAAAATGAATGGGGACGTGTTGAGGTGAAAAACACATGAAGTAATGTTGCTGTTGTTCTTGAGCACCCTCAGTGATAGCCATTAATGGCCTCATTTGACAAATTATTACATTGACTAATTGATTTGTTGCTGTTCTAATCCTGTTCTAACATCTAATCCTTTTCGGCACTGTGACCGTTTCTCCCTGTAGGTCCTTATGTCACTCTTGGCTCTCTTAAATAATACTTCTGGCCTCTCTTTTGGATTAATACATTGGTCATGATTTCACCTTGGGCTGAAAGCACAGACCTTGCTTGTTCTGTGCATGACTTGGATGAGTAGAGCTGTCTGGAGGAATAAAAAGCAGCCCTAGGAAAAGAAGAGCTTGTTCTGGGCTCTCCAGCACGCACTCGCAGGGAGACTGCTCCTTCTGCCCCAGTGTCTGCAGTCCGCTGGGAGAGGCTTCGTCCTTTACTGTCATCTCTGGGTTTTGACGCAATGTCTAGTAAAGCCACCAGCGTTTTATTTATGGCAGTTAAGCTGATGAGAAACATCCCACGGAGGGGAACAGGAGCAGGGCAGCTACATGGGGATGGCAAGGACTTGTCACCAGGGTGAACTAAGAGCTGGGATGGCTTCCTTTTGGGAGAAGGGTGGTGTGGAAGCCTTCTCCAATCTGAGGCAGCCCCAGGCCTGCTGTCCAGAGAGAAGGAGCCCGCACCGAAGGCGAAAGATAACTTCATTAAATTATTCACCCCCCATTTGAATTAAAGAAAGGTGGATGGGTTTGTGGCGGCAGCGGGGGCTTCGCCGGGAGACGCTTTGGCTCCTTTGGTGGGGCGAGACCTCATTATGTCAGTCTCTGCTGGCCTTCCCCCAGGTGTGGTTCCAGAACAGGAGAGCCCGGCAGCTCAACCACAAGAAGAGCGAAGCCGCCGCCGCCTACCGCAAGCCGGCCTGTGGCAAGCAGAAACCGGCCCGCTGCCTCCCCGGGTCCCGCACGACGGGGCACGGTCTCGGGCCGGAGCGGAGCCTCCTCCAGCCGCAGCCCGGCCTGCCAGGAGGACAGCAGGGTTACACCGCTCAGCCCTACGCCAGGCTGGAAACTCATTTCAGGAGCTTGGATAACACCTTTGGAGCCCCGGGTCAGAGCTGGGGTCAGAGCCCGGCTCACTTGGGTCTGGACTGCCTGGGGAAGGGGGTGCCGCTGGGGGTGGGGGGTGTGGGATGTGCCCCCCAGCTCTCGCTGCCGGTGCAGCAGGAGTATCCCTGTCTGAAGAAATCTTTCCCCGAAAGCTACTACTCTGACGCAGATGTTTTCCAGTCTTGTATAGAAGATCACCAGTACCTGGCAGCTAAAGAGAACATGTGCAGGAGGCCTGTCTTAAACTACTTAAGTGGTAACCAGGGCCTGGGCGATGAGAACTGTTTGTATATCAAGTCAAACCCTTCTCCCTTTGGGAAGGGCTCCACTTTCAGTTATGGTGAAGGAGAATCTAAGCTTGAGCTCGAGCAGATGAGGCACAGTCCACCTCTGGTTGCAGCTAGTCAGGCTAGTCCTCCTTTGGTACTTCCAAAACATGAAGGGGGGTATCAGGGGACACTGTCCACTCCAGCCCCATCGTACGGGCAGCAGCTGCTGGAGACAGTAAATAACTATGACCCTCATTGGCTGGGTGTGAGAAATGAATTCTTGGGAACTGGGTTAGATTCGCTCTTTGAGAATGAGCAAAATGGGGAACAAGGTGGGCCAAAAAGTTACCTTTTTGCTTTTGGTGGCCAGAGTTCCACCTGTCACACATGAAACTGACAGCGAGTCTGCTTGCCCGATGAAAAATGAATGTGGGTTTGTTTGTTTTTTTTAATTCGATTGGCAGCGTTGTCCAAATTGGCTAGAAGTTTTGCAGGTGTAAGTGTGGAGTGCTTGCCCTGAGTTCTGTGGGCTGTCTGGAGGGGGAAGGAAGATCAGTGAGGTTAGCGAGGGCTATAGGAGAGCCTGCTGAAGGTGTGCTGCCCCTCGCCCCGTCCGACGGGAGCTGTCACCAGGCTGCTTGCAGTGTCCCTGCACGCTTTTGGTTATGGGCAGCCTCCCGTTAACTTGCACATACAGACTCCTCTTCTTCACAGGTACATGGGTATTGATGATTTACTCTTCCTGTGTTCAGTCTGTGCTGGATTAATTCTGCCAGGAAGCTGGGGACATCGGTTTTGTGGCCTTACAGCACTGACTTTTGTTTCTATGCTGGTCGGAATTCACTTTAAAAAAAAAAAAATGTAGAAAACAGACTTATTTATAGCTTTTAGTGGAGAAAGCATTAATATGAGAGGGGAACAAGCATGGGGAAAGCAGCCTTGGTGGTGGCAGGGGACAGGTCACTGGGTGTGTTTGCGTTTCAGGTGTGCTCCTGATAAAGAACACTGCTGATTTTTTCCTAGACACTTAATGTATAGTGTTTTTATTTAAAAATGACCATATGTGTAGCCTTTTAAAAGGCAATATTTTTGTGATTTCCTTTTGTATATATTTTTTTTCAAATTGTAATTTTCTATTTGTGAAATGAAGGTTTTTCTACCAGGGTGATAATGAACTTGTAGAACTGCACTCACGGGGGAAAAAAAAAAAGTAATTGTGTTCCATCTTTGCATTTGCACATTGAGCCTATTTTTAGACTTCTCGGGAGCCATGGCTGTCTGGAAGACCACTGTAATCTTGGAAATGTTTTTCATGTGTCTCTCTGGAGAGCTGCTATGGTTGTGTCTTAAAGCAATACTGGCCCTAGGATGCTGAAAAGTATATGTGCAAATCCTTTCTTATGTTTAAATTGTGGCTCTGGAATATTTTAAGTATGCCTAGATTTTAACACATTATTAACTTATTGTTTATAGAACAAAAAATGTAATAAAAGTAAAACTTTAAACACAGACCATTATTTTATTAATAAAGTTAATATCTCTGTGAAGAAGCTGTCTATTGAGATGTGTACGCAAGAAGTCCAAGAAGATTAGTCCTGACTTGTGTCAGGAATGTTTAGCTGTGGCTGTGAAGAAGCTGTTTAACTTTTCTGCCTTGATCTCCAGCACTGGAACACGCTGCTGTATTACAGAAGAACCGTAGCTTCAGACAGTAGCTGTGAGGCACTTTGAACACAAAAAAGTTGTATCTTAGACCCAAGTACAAGGTGATGATTGTATTTATGATTTTAAGCCAGTAAACTTTTTTTAAAACTCTGCGTTAAGGCTTAGTTCTTTGTTTCCATACACCCTCTCCCTCATAAACCCAGCTTGATGAGAAGTGAGAGTTGTTCCCAGGCACAGAGAGAATTTAGCCGTGGGGTTTACAGTCAGCCCGGGCCTACTCCACTGCTTGGCCTTTTCAGGTCCTGCTTTTGTGGGACGACCTTTCTCCTCAGCCTCCTCCTCCAGCAGCAGGACCGGGGTGACACCAGCACGGCAGGGACAGCAGTTCACCACCCGGACACCCCTTTAGCAGCTCTGCTCCTCGCCGTTTCTTGGCGTTGAGGCAAATCACCCCGGAGAAGAGGGCTTTTCACTTCATTAAGCAGGGCTTGTACCTGTAATAACTTCAGGAGGCCTGGCCTCAAGGGCCGGAGATGACAACAGCTCACTTCTCACCTGCGGCACCCCGACCCCGGCCTGCCCGGCACCTCCTTAAGGGGGGTGGGCTTGGTATCTGAAAAAAGCCCCCACCGAAGTACATTTCAAGTTGGTGGCACTGGAAAGCCCTTCACAAGACTCTCTCCCTGACATCTTTGCCCTGCCGTGGGCCCTGGCAAGGTTTTCTTTTCCACGCTGGCTCCTGGGGCTGCCCCCCTCCTCTGTCTCTGTGGGGCTGTGGGGCCGGTACCGCCGGGGGCTGCCGCGGGCCCTCACCGCTCCGCCGGCAAAGCCATTCACTCACAGCTGGGGCTCCCGGCTCCCCAGTGCCCCGGCACCCCGAACCCCGCGGAGGGGGTGGACGCCTCCCCGCCCCGTCGGGCCGCGGCCGTGTGTGCCGGCAATAGGGCTCCGCCGCTTCCCCCGGAACTCCGGCCACAGCCGCTTTGTTTCCGTGGGGGCCGCCATCGCGGGCGGGTCGGTGCGGCTCCACGCGGGCCCGGCGGCGGGACAGGGCAGGAGCCAGGTAGGTGGCGGCGGCGGTGGGGGAACTCTCTTCGTTCTCCTCAGGGGGTGTGGGGCTGGCCCGCCCGTCAGCTCCTTCTCCTCCTGGCCTTGGAAGTCGGCTCTGCCCGGAGTAAAGCAGCGGTCCCCTCCCCAGCCCCTCCGGGTGCAGGCTGCCGGCCTGCGTGGAGACCCGGCCTGGGCCCGGCTCCGGGGCAGGGGTGGCCGGAGCGCAGGGTCTTGGGGCTGCCAGGAGAGCTGCTTTACCCCGGCCTGGGGCTGCCTTACCCCGGCCTGGGGCTGCCAGGAGGGCTGCCTTACCCCGGGGAGGGCCTCGGTGCTTTCCATGTGCATCTAGGCAGGATGTAAATTGGCTGTTCTTCCAGAGATGGTCAAGTCATATTCGCCCAGTGCACTGTATTAATCTCTTCTCCCAAGGGAATAATGACAGGACCAGAGGAAATGGCCTGAAGTTGCGGCAGGGGAGGTTTAGATCAGATATTGGGAAGAATTGCTTTACTGAGAGAGCGGTCAGGCACTGGAGCAGCCTACCCAGTGAGGTGGTGGAGTTGCCATCCCTGGAGGTATTTAAGAGATGTGTAGACATGGCACTTCAGGGTATGCTGTAGTGCCCAAGACTGTTGGTTTGTGTCTGTTTGTAATTTGTTTGTGTGTGGTTTTTTTTTTAGTTTGTTTTGGTGGGTTTTTTTGTTTTTGGTTTTTTTTGTGGTTGGACTTGATGATCTCAAAGGTCCCTTCCAACCACGAGGATTCTGTCATTCAGGTGTGCTCTGTGTGTGTTGCGTGTGCTAACTGTGTTTCCATCCCATGTCAGCTGTCACAGTGTCACACAGAGGCAATCTGCTCTATACTGGCTGTAAGCAGTTGTTGAAAAAGTAAGATGGAGGAAAAGGAGAAGAAGAAGCATCGAGCAAAGCACAGCGGGCCGAAGGCGGAGAAGAAAAGGAAACGTTACCTCAATGAGTTAGGAATAGGAGATGAGGAGAATGCACGGAAGAGAAACCCCAAAGCCTTTACGGTCCAGTCCGCTGTGCGGATGGCCAGGACTTTCCATAGGTAAGAAATGGGAGTTGGTTGCAGAGCATGTGGGGTCGGCTGGAAGGGTAGGTGTTGGCTGGGGTTCCTTTGTGTAGAAATATACGAAGTGTAATTTTCACTGGTGTGCTCGCATTGCTTTCCCCATTCACCAGGTGGTGTTGTAGTTGATGCCTGTGTCAGAAGTGTGATGCTTTCTGCATCTGTGTTACGTGGTTCAGCTGCGTTAGTCTCAATGCGAAAAAAATGTGTATAGCTCCGTAGGCTTCGTGGGAGTTCCACATACATATTCCTGTCTGGGCTCTTGGTGAACCTTTGTGTCCAAGCTTTTGCAAATACTGAAGACTAAACATTACTGTCTTTAAGTTCTTCTGTTTATTCATTGCAAATTTCTTCTCAGAACTCAGGATTTGAAGACTAAAAAACATCACATCCCTGTGGTTGACCGTACTCCTTTGGAGCCACCTCCTGTGGTGGTGGTTGTGGTTGGCCCTCCCAAGGTTGGGAAGAGCACCGTAATAAAATGTCTTATTAAGAACTTCACAAGGCAAAAGCTGGTTGAAATCCGGGGTCCTGTTACCATCGTTTCAGGTGAGAACAAAGATATGAGAAATGGACGTGCTAATTTTGCATTCCTTATTTGTCCTGCTTTTAGAGTTAGAATGTGTTCGTACAGTTTTTGTCATGTTGAAGAAATCATTTGAATGTGTTATCAAGCATAGTTATTAACAGTAAAGGACTAGTGGGATTGAGGCTTTTGGGGGACTTGTCCCTCTAAACTTGATTACCACCCTGCTCAGATCCTAATTCTGGTGTTTTTCACTTCTATGGGTTTTTTTTGCAGTTTATTCCATCCCCCCAAACTTTTCCACTGGGTTCTGTTTTCCCTTTTGAACTGTTTTTCTCTGGCTTCATTCTAATCTCTACATGCATTTCCTGTTCTTTCAGGTTCCCTGTCCTATAATCCCATCTTTGTGTCCCTTTCTTTCTTAAGCCAATAATTAATTTGCCTTGCCATTTCCAGTTGCTTTTCTCCACCTCAGCCCCCTGTCTGTTCCTTTTTCTTTTTGTTATATTTTCAGTCTCGGTTTCCACTTGTCTTAGTCTGTTCCCTTCATCCTTTTCCCTGAATATTACCAGGGGGATCACTGAGGTTCTAGGAGGAGCACAGCCCAGAGCAGCTCAAGGAACCAATTTATAAGGGAGAACTTGCTTGGGCACAGATAACAAACCAAACACAGATGTTTGGTGCAGGTAGACTCTTTGGAGACTGTAAATCCTAAGTCTCGATTTTGCAAGGAATAATTGACAAATAAGGGAAAATAAAAATGGAAAGGAAGATTGATGTGTTAAATTGGATTTCCTCATTGGTCTACTGGGACTCAAGGGCTGAATTTTGCAATTGATAACCTGAAGATAAAAAACATGATACCCATTGTCTATAGTTGTTTAAAGATGTTATTGCTGTTGTCTAAAGTCCAGTTAGCAAACTCCAGTTAGTCAAGCCAAGTTAACAGGAGGTACATTTTTCTCATTTGGATGCATGTTAAGGAATTTTTAAATATGTAAATCTCTATTTTTTAAAGGCGAAACCAGTGTATTTTTCCCAAGAATATCAAAAGAACAAAAAATATGTGGTAAAATAAAATCCACAGTATTAACTCTGGGGCAATAAAGATAAAAGAAGCAGAGATTTTATTTTTTTCCCCAAAGTAAAACAAACATTTTTTGTGCTATTAGCATATTTTTTTTTTTGGAAAAGACCAAACAACTCCTTTGAAAACATGTACTCAACCTCATAATTTTAAACCAAAAAGTTATAATGTAGCAAAATTGTAAAAATTTGACAACAGGCACTTCTACAGTGGTGCATGTTGGATGATCTATATGCTAGACAAGAATTTGAGTCCCAGATACTCCTTAGGAACTTAAGGAATGTGACCTGGAAAGAAAACAGTGGACTAATTTGCTCCCTCTGTTTCAATTTTTGATTTTTATTTCTGTTTTCAGGTAAAAAACGCAGGCTAACTATTATTGAATGTGGGTGTGACATTAACACAATGATAGACCTGGCTAAAGTCGCCGATTTGGTAAGTTAACGATGGCACATGATTTCTACTATAATTTATATTGAAAATACTACTACTAAATCAGGCACCAGTGTCTGATTTTTCTACCCGTGGTTATCAAAGGCAAAACTCTCTTTGATTTCAGAGAGAACAGGACGAAGCTCTACAATAAACCTAATATTCCCCTAGGACTTTCCTTACGCTGGGGGAATAAAGTGTGTGGTGGTGGGGAACTTAATTGCTAATGCAGCTGGTAAACTTTCAATGTAAGAGCTTAGATGCAGCCAAGGTGACAAAGTGACCTTTCATTAAGGGATTTGGTCAGACCATGTAAAATCTGAAAATGTTTTTTTAGGCAAGAAGTTTTCAACTAATGTATAAAGTAGAAATATGTATTAGTTTACTGGTTGGTTTTATTTGCTGCACTGTGATGTTTGCGTCTGTGAAGATCACTGTGTAGGGATACAGCTGATTTCAGTGGAGTGTGGTCACCATTGTAATTTACTTGTAAGTTTTGGTTCGGTGGATTATGTCAACTGATCTTGAGGACCCAATGCACGATCCGTTTGTCTGTTTAGAATTTTACTTTACGTGTGGATTTGAGTAATTATTCATAGCCAATTAGCATTTGGGATCCTTGTCTAAATATTAATTCTCTAAATACATGCAGGCACTAGTCCAGATATTGTTCTGCCTGCGTGTTTTCTACTTGAGGAAGGGAGATGTGTTAAAAAATACAGAATTTTTTTGTTAGTAGATGTGATGGATGTTTGAGATTCTGCATGTAGTGATGCTGAGAATCTCTTTTGTTTTTATTGTGAGGAGGCTGAGATCACATAGTTACTTGCAGATCTCTTGTCATCAGTTCCCATGTGTTTTAAGTTCTTAATTGCTGAGGCCTTAATATGACTTTGCTTCCATTTTCATGTGAGTGTTGGGTGCTGCTTTCCTTGTCAGTGTGTTTTTTCAAGATTTTGGTTTCAAATAAGTTTATGACTTTAAAGGTATAGTCTTTGAAAGTATCTCACGTGGGCACCATGGTATTGTTATAGTGAAATGCTGATGTTGTGTTTTCAGGTTCTTATGCTTATTGATGCCAGCTTTGGATTTGAGATGGAAACATTCGAATTCCTGAACATTTGTCAGGTACACGGCTTTCCCAAAATTATGGGAGTTCTCACCCATCTGGATACGTTCAAGAACAACAAACAATTAAAGAAGACTAAAAAGAAGTTAAAGCACAGATTCTGGACTGAAGTGTATCCGGTATGACACTCAACAGTCATTTTTCCATATATTTTGCACTGTGGAAGCTAAATTAACAGTGGGGCAATACTTAAATGTTTATTATGTTCTTACATCTTTTAAATAATTCTATAAATGGACAGTGCTGGTGTTGCATCAGGTTGTCTAATCTTCCTTCTATTTGCTAAAATACTTGTGTAATTATTCTGTGTCCCAGTGTGACTACCCACTGCACATGTGATACCAGTAAAAAGGTCTGTTACACAGGTGCTGTGCAGGGAGGATCTGCCTGTAGGTCTGAGAGACAAAATAACCTTTTACCAGCTTTTCTGGGTGGGAATTGTTTTCCCCTAAGACTTAGGGGGCAATTTTCATTATGAAGTATAGTAGTTAGTTTGATCTTTTGGAGCCAGTTGTAACCTGCAACTTCCATTTATGATTTTCAATTTAGAACCATGTTGCCTTTTTTAGTTTTGTAGGTGTGAAATTGATGTTTAACGTTTTTATGTCTTTTTAATGTGTTTAGGGTGCTAAGCTGTTTTACCTGTCTGGGATGGTTCACGGAGAATATCAAAAGCAGGAAATTCACAATTTGGGGCGGTTTATCTCAGTTATGAAATTCCGACCTCTTACTTGGCAAACGTCTCACCCGTATGTTCTTGCAGACAGGTGTGTGCTCTTCTCTGTTCTTCAATCTCAGCACAGACAGCAGCACCTTGCTGTGTAAAAAGAAATATATAATATTAGAGCCAGTCAGCTCCATGTGTGAATGGGTATTTAGTGTTATCTAAGTGGCTCTGGGGAAATGAAAGCTTACTCTTCAGGTTTGTGCCAGTAACTGTAGCCGTTCAGTTTCATGGTACATTGTAAATACTCGTGAAACACACACACACACACATAACACACACAGTACCCTTTTTCAAAAGATACTAATAGGAATGCTGGATGTTCTAACTTTTTTTTTTTTTTGCGTAGAATGGAAGAGTTGACAAACCCAGAAGACATTAGACTCAATCCCAAATGTGACAGGAAGATATCACTTTATGGATACTTGAGAGGAGCACACCTGAAAAACAAAAGTCAAATTCATATGCCAGGTAATCTATTAGATACTTAAAACTGTTTGTATGCTGATCTGTGAATAACAACACAGCCACTGTTATTTTTATTGTGGAATGATTTGTATCTTTAAACTGTACATTGTAGAATAGATTTTTAGCCTTTCTAAATGCATTTTATGCTTTTGGAAATTATTTTTGGAAAAATAAATCCTTGTAAATAGTTTTGCTTTTAATTGTGCGGTTTTGTTGCAATATTGGCAGTTTTTCAAAGGTGTTTCACTTTAAAAAGGTGCTTGAAGTGCAAAATGCACCAGCCCTAATAGTGAAATTAAATCTGGCTTATGTAAAATTTCTCATATTCATTGAATAAATTTAATATTTTAAGTGAGTGATTTAAAAGCTTAAATTCAGAAATATTTTAATAAATTTACAGACCTACTCAGAAAAGTAAGTTGCTAGTTTTCTTATTTAAAAACCAGCAAACAAACCCAAAGCTTTGCAGAATTGTGGTGAACTTAACGTGTGCTTCTCTGAGTTCAGTGGTAAGGCAGAAGAGCTGGATGTTCGATACAGAGCTTGCTTTGATAAGTCACTGAGTGCTGCAGTGTTTTGTGGTGTTTTGGTTTTTTTTAATATCTTCAAATTTCAGAATCAAAACCTTGTGAAAACCTTATTGCTTGCCTTTCTCTCACCCCAGGTGTAGGAGATTTTACTGTGAGTGATGTGAGTTTCCTACCAGACCCCTGTGCTCTGCCTGAACAGCAGAAGAAGCGTTCTTTAAATGAGAAAGAGAAGTTAGTCTATGCCCCGCTTTCAGGAGTGGGGGGCATTGTATATGATAAAGATGCTGTTTATATTGACCTTGGTGGAAGCCATGCTCATGAAAAAGAAGAGGTAAGGCAATGCTGTTAGTGATTTGAATTCCTTGCAAAATGTAGTTTTTATCCTTAGAGTAAAAATAAGTGCCTAAAAAATAAGCTTCTTCAAAATTATCAATCGTTATATATCTGTTGTGGGTAATTTCTTTTTTTCCTCTATTGATTTCAGAGGAGGGATATTTTTATCTCTTTGTAAAACATTGTGCAAAACGTTTGAAGGATCAGTTAATAATAATTCCCTAAGTATAGTTTCATAAACTTTCCAAACATTGACTTAAGATTTACAAAAACTCCCGGTACTAAGATATTACCAGTCTTATTTTGCAGGGTAGGGTGGTTGTGGGAGAACACTTACAGGATTTGACTGGTCCAAGGGAGAGGTGGAAAAGACTTGAGTTACAGATTGATTTCAGCTGTTTTCCTCTGTATTGTGCTAGATGTTAAATATATTTGGGTCTATGATAATGTGTGCTTGCTGATATTTACTGTAGTGGTTGCAATAGTGGTTGCATACTCTGCAGGAGGCCCTGTTTAATTTTTCTTGTATTAATATTGTATGCATTCTTGAAACATGAAGAGGGGAAGGAAGACCTTACTATTCTGAGAAAACATTTATTTAAAATGCTTTGGAATTTTTTCTTGCATATGCAGGTTTCTACTGTTTTAGGCAGATTGATGACTCTCTTAGTTGTTCATTAGACATTTGTTTATTCATTTTAATTGAAATGTGAAAAATCTTGGCTTTCCAGGAGGAAGTGAGACCAAATCACGAACTAGTTCAGAGCCTCATCTCCACACATTCAGCCATTGATGTTAAGATGGCGTCAAGCAAAGTCTCTCTATTCATGGACTCTAGACCCTTGGGTTCAGAAGATGTAGGACAAGAGTAAGTTTTAAATGCTGAGCAGCGTTTGAGTATGAATGAATGTCTAATTTCAGGCTCTAATACAGCACAGTTATTGGAATGGCTTATTGCCTAATTTTTCCTTTTCTGAGACTTCTCATATGCCACATGTTTTTTGAGATAGGAATAATTGATACTAGAAAAGTTTTGCAACCAGTGTAGTCCTATCTTCCAGGAATTCCTTGCTGATGTAGCCGTACGTAACACATTTCTGGTTTTCATCAGAGTTTTTGAGAATGGAAGCATTAATATTCAGTAAAATTCATTGTATAACCTATGTTCATTTCATGGAAAATGAAGAAATTTCTCGGAATTATTTAAGGCTATAGCATAGGGTGTATTCTTGAATTAAAAGGAATTCTGTACATCAGCTCTATTGCCCTTTAAATGTTCTCCATAACCTCACTTTGGTTTTTTTTTGTTTGTTTGTTTGTTTTTTTTTAATTAAAAATGTTTTTAATATTCATTGTTTCATTAACATCTCCTTGCACTTTATTATCTTACCCCAAATGTGATTTTTGGGGAAAACAGGTTTGTGATGCCAAAAGAAGAGAGACAGATTGATTTGAAGACTGGAAGAGTTCGTCGGAAGGCAGTGTTTGAAGAAGAAGAAGAGAAAGAAAATGATGATGCGGTAAGTGATGAGGAAGATGAAGAAGAAGCAGCAGCAATGTCTGAGGATGGAAGTGATGGCGATGATGAAGACGATGCTGAGGAAGAAAGTGACAGAGAGCTAATAGAGGAAGAGATGCATGTTGGGAGAGCCAAACGTCTGAAAACAGAGCTGGCTAAAGAAGAAGCTGTGAATGAGCTGCCAGCGTTTGCAGACAGTGATGATGATCTAGAGATGAGTTCTGAAGGAGAAGGAGGAGAAACTGCCCCTGAAGAGAATGAGATGGAGGAAGATGATGATAATGGGGAGGAGGAGGAAGATGATGATGAGCAAAGGACTTATGAAAATGAAAGCTCAGATAGTGAATTTGAGGTTGCAAGCAAAAAAGTAGCTGAATCTAAGCAGTGTGAAATAAATAGTAAAGGTACAGAAAGGAGACCACAAATCTCAGATCACAGACTGAAAAGAAAATCAGTGCTTACTACAGATTCAGGAAACTGCACAGCAGAAGAGGCATCAGAATCTGAGGCTGAAAGCTCTTCCCTCGATGAGGGTGATGATGAAGAAGGATCACGTGATGAATTAGAAGTTGAAGAGTCAAAGAAGAAGGGATTTCCACACACTCAAGCAAAGAAAACTGATAGTATTAGCCAGACTAAACGGAAAGCTGTAGAAACTGAGGACGATGATGTGGAGAATCTACTGAAAGAGGAAGAGGAGTACGAAGAAAAAATAGATCTTTCTGCTGACACGACAGGTAGACTATAAATGTTAAGAACTTTTACTGTCTATTTTTAATTGGGTTCATTGTTAAAGAATATTATAATTAGTAAATACTATATAATGTTGCCCGTCCACATATATATATGTAGTTGTTAAGTGGCAAACTTCAAGTTAGGAACCTGAGATTATCTGCTATTAAGCCTTTGATTTGCAATGTAGTATTTAGGTCTTAGGTTTCCTTCCTCTGAAATGGAGGTGATTCATTTTATAAACTTCATTGATTCTGCAGACATTTCCCTAAAACTTTGATCTTTTGGGCTATGTGTGTAAAACAAATTATGATGCTCTATTACATTTAGAAAGAATAAAACATTATTAAGGGAACATTGCTAAAACGTATTAATTACTCACTGAGCACTGGAACAGGTTGCCCAGAGAAGTTGTGGAATCTCCATCCTTGGAGGTTTTCACAAGCCATTTGGACATGGTGCTGGGCAACCTGCTCTAGATGACACTGCTTGGGCAGTGGGGCTGGGCAAGATGACCTCCAGAAGTCCCTTCAACCTCAACCATTCTGCCAGTCTGTGAAGATGACATGTATCAGTATGTAAATCATAAAATCTGTTACTATTGCTAATAAAATTATCGTAAAATTAGGACTCATCAGAAAAAAAATAATCAGTGATCGAATTTGTAGCCACAACTGATGTTTCTGTGTATATGTATGGAGTATGAAAAAAAGAAACCGTGGGTTGTGTCTGCATTTCTTAAGCCTGTTGTTGTCGTGTCCTTATTTAAATTATTTGTGTACCTCCTAATTCTTGTTCTTTTTTGGAGGCAGAATGCAATTTTTTTTTTTGCTTTTTAGGTGCACTTAAGTGGAAAGAGGACCTTACACAGAAGGCAGCTGAGGCCTTTCTAAGACAACAACGTTCAACACCCAATCTCCGTAAACTCGTATATGGAACAGGTACAAATCTGTTTGGAAACTTATACTAATAACTTCATATATGGTAGCTTTTATCTGTTACCAAGTTTACAACTCCAAATCTTTGAGCACTGTCTTTTGGTGGGAGGCTTGAGGACATTTGATTGACTCTACTAATTGCTGATACTCATTTTCACTAGTAATTGTAATAAAGACAGTTTGCACTTTTCCAATAAAAAGCATTTTAAGCTCATTTTCCAGACTATTCAATTGTTACTCATGTTTTCTGATACAGCTATTTCCTCCCAGACAGTTTGGTCATTTTTGTAATTATGCAAATCCATTGTGGCAATTGGGGTGTTTCATAAAGGGATGTCGTTTGTTGGCTGATTTCAGGAATTTTTGTCTCACAATGACTGAGTGGAATATTCTCTCAGATATTACTTAATGCTATTGTGTCTGTAATAAGGGTGTTTGACAAGGGAAAAAAAAAAAAAAAGCTGTTGCCTTGAAAGGAAGACAAAATTACCATTTATGTAATTCATCCTGTTTAATTCACAACTTTGCCAGTAGCAGTCTGAGTGTAGAAAGCTCATCATGCAGAACCTCTGTAGAACACAATGAGAATTCGGCTTTTGTAAAATTTCCACAGTGCAGGAGCAGGAAGATTTGCTGACAGATTCTCAAGTCTGGTATTCTTGATTTACCTACTAGCTTGATGCTGTTCCTAGAGATCGTTTTGGTATCGTTTCTATTTATGATAGTGAATTAACATCCTGTGTTTACTTATTGGGCAATATTTTTTCAGACGATTCCAGTTATGCAAATAGAACCAGATTTCAGGTTGTTCAAAGTAATTCAAACCAGTGGAATTTGTGAAATGAATTACATGTTTCCATATAGAACATCTATAGAACTGAAGTTCGTGATAATCACAGTATATACTATCTCCTGGTTGCTGCTCACTTTATTTTGTTCTTGTTAGGATATTAATTTAATTCTTACACTGCATCGGTGTACCTTTTTCCTCAGTCGTTTATATTTAAAACTATTTTTAGTTTGCATCTCTTTTTTCCCCTCAAACTACTGTAGGTTTTGTGAAATGTAAGGCAGAAGAGAGGTTGTTGCTAAATGTGATCCATGTACTGTGGGGAAAATAATCACAGCTTGTACATTTCATTTAGCTGTCGAGGATGAGGACCATGAGAGTGAGGATGCAGGTGATGAACTTGGAGGTTTGTTTCGTGTCAGCCGTCCAGACAAGGCATCCAAACAGAAGGCTAATGCTCTTGACTGCTCCAAATTTCTGGTAGAAAAGCCGCAAGATTGGGATTTAGAAGAGGTAATACCACTGGATAACTGCTTCTGCATATCCTATACTGGTAATATCCTCACTGTGTCTCATAAAGTACCTCTGAGCTGTGATTGAAACAGGCCTATGGGAGCTGTTGCCAGAGTGTGTTATATCTTCTGCTACTTGCTGTCATTAGAAGTATTTACTGGCTAACAAATTCCGTTGTCTGTTCTTATAGGAATGGAAAGTTAGAAGTTAATTTAATGCTTGGCTGTCTTGACTACTTGGTGGATAATAGTTCACTATTTATTTAGCAAAAAGTAAAATCAGGGGAATTGTGAATAAAAATATGATGTAGGGTAGAGACCTTGTTAGTGTAAAGACCTTTGAGCAAGAGTGGAGTTGATTTCACCTTCCTGTTTTTGCTGAGGCATTGTGTAGCTTTGGTAGTGGTGTCTCGACATGGAGCTGTGGGTGAGAGTATCAGGTTGTCTCTGAGTTGGTATCTCTGGTGGAGGAGGGGGGAACATACTGGAGAATGATTCTGTTGCTGACAAGCTGTAACTGTACAAGGCAATGACTCTGTTATTTTGCAGGTTATGAGCAGTATTCGAGACTGCTTTGTTACTGGAAAGTGGGAAGATGATAAAGATGCAGCAAAGTTGTTGGAGGAAGATGGTATGTGTAAGACTTATAAAAATGATTACTGTACAGAGGATTTTAAGGAAAAGTATGACTTTGTAGTTAGATATTTAGAATGTTTTGCATTAGTGATATGCTTGCAAATTGAATTTTCAAAGTATTACATGAAGTATTATACAGCTACTAATATAATTAAACATTGCTGTAAATCTCTGTACAAACAGTACACAAGTAGCACATTCTGAAAACTTACTCCCTGAAAATAGGGCTTATAAATTCCACTGGGTTCTGTTTTCCCTTTTGAACTGTTTTTCTCTGGCTTCATTCTAATCTCTACATGCATTTCCTGTTCTTTCAGGTTCCCTGTCCTATAATCCCATCTTTGTGTCCCTTTCTTTCTTAAGCCAATAATTAATTTGCCTTGCCATTTCCAGTTGCTTTTCTCCACCTCAGCCCCCTGTCTGTTCCTTTTTCTTTTTGTTATATTTTCAGTCTCGGTTTCCACTTGTCTTAGTCTGTTCCCTTCATCCTTTTCCCTGAATATTACCAGGGGGATCACTGAGGTTCTAGGAGGAGCACAGCCCAGAGCAGCTCAAGGAACCAATTTATAAGGGAGAACTTGCTTGGGCACAGATAACAAACCAAACACAGATGTTTGGTGCAGGTAGACTCTTTGGAGACTGTAAATCCTAAGTCTCGATTTTGCAAGGAATAATTGACAAATAAGGGAAAATAAAAATGGAAAGGAAGATTGATGTGTTAAATTGGATTTCCTCATTGGTCTACTGGGACTCAAGGGCTGAATTTTGCAATTGATAACCTGAAGATAAAAAACATGATACCCATTGTCTATAGTTGTTTAAAGATGTTATTGCTGTTGTCTAAAGTCCAGTTAGCAAACTCCAGTTAGTCAAGCCAAGTTAACAGGAGGTACATTTTTCTCATTTGGATGCATGTTAAGGAATTTTTAAATATGTAAATCTCTATTTTTTAAAGGCGAAACCAGTGTATTTTTCCCAAGAATATCAAAAGAACAAAAAATATGTGGTAAAATAAAATCCACAGTATTAACTCTGGGGCAATAAAGATAAAAGAAGCAGAGATTTTATTTTTTTCCCCAAAGTAAAACAAACATTTTTTGTGCTATTAGCATATTTTTTTTTTTGGAAAAGACCAAACAACTCCTTTGAAAACATGTACTCAACCTCATAATTTTAAACCAAAAAGTTATAATGTAGCAAAATTGTAAAAATTTGACAACAGGCACTTCTACAGTGGTGCATGTTGGATGATCTATATGCTAGACAAGAATTTGAGTCCCAGATACTCCTTAGGAACTTAAGGAATGTGACCTGGAAAGAAAACAGTGGACTAATTTGCTCCCTCTGTTTCAATTTTTGATTTTTATTTCTGTTTTCAGGTAAAAAACGCAGGCTAACTATTATTGAATGTGGGTGTGACATTAACACAATGATAGACCTGGCTAAAGTCGCCGATTTGGTAAGTTAACGATGGCACATGATTTCTACTATAATTTATATTGAAAATACTACTACTAAATCAGGCACCAGTGTCTGATTTTTCTACCCGTGGTTATCAAAGGCAAAACTCTCTTTGATTTCAGAGAGAACAGGACGAAGCTCTACAATAAACCTAATATTCCCCTAGGACTTTCCTTATGCTGGGGGAATAAAGTGTGTGGTGGTGGGGAACTTAATTGCTAATGCAGCTGGTAAACTTTCAATGTAAGAGCTTAGATGCAGCCAAGGTGACAAAGTGACCTTTCATTAAGGGATTTGGTCAGACCATGTAAAATCTGAAAATGTTTTTTTAGGCAAGAAGTTTTCAACTAATGTATAAAGTAGAAATATGTATTAGTTTACTGGTTGGTTTTATTTGCTGCACTGTGATGTTTGCGTCTGTGAAGATCACTGTGTAGGGATACAGCTGATTTCAGTGGAGTGTGGTCACCATTGTAATTTACTTGTAAGTTTTGGTTCGGTGGATTATGTCAACTGATCTTGAGGACCCAATGCACGATCCGTTTGTCTGTTTAGAATTTTACTTTACGTGTGGATTTGAGTAATTATTCATAGCCAATTAGCATTTGGGATCCTTGTCTAAATATTAATTCTCTAAATACATGCAGGCACTAGTCCAGATATTGTTCTGCCTGCGTGTTTTCTACTTGAGGAAGGGAGATGTGTTAAAAAATACAGAATTTTTTTGTTAGTAGATGTGATGGATGTTTGAGATTCTGCATGCATGTAGTGATGCTGAGAATCTCTTTTGTTTTTATTGTGAGGAGGCTGAGATCACATAGTTACTTGCAGATCTCTTGTCATCAGTTCCCATGTGTTTTAAGTTCTTAATTGCTGAGGCCTTAATATGACTTTGCTTCCATTTTCATGTGAGTGTTGGGTGCTGCTTTCCTTGTCAGTGTGTTTTTTCAAGATTTTGGTTTCAAATAAGTTTATGACTTTAAAGGTATAGTCTTTGAAAGTATCTCACGTGGGCACCATGGTATTGTTATAGTGAAATGCTGATGTTGTGTTTTCAGGTTCTTATGCTTATTGATGCCAGCTTTGGATTTGAGATGGAAACATTCGAATTCCTGAACATTTGTCAGGTACACGGCTTTCCCAAAATTATGGGAGTTCTCACCCATCTGGATACGTTCAAGAACAACAAACAATTAAAGAAGACTAAAAAGAAGTTAAAGCACAGATTCTGGACTGAAGTGTATCCGGTATGACACTCAACAGTCATTTTTCCATATATTTTGCACTGTGGAAGCTAAATTAACAGTGGGGCAATACTTAAATGTTTATTGTGTTCTTACATCTTTTAAATAATTCTATAAATGGACAGTGCTGGTGTTGCATCAGGTTGTCTAATCTTCCTTCTATTTGCTAAAATACTTGTGTAATTATTCTGTGTCCCAGTGTGACTACCCACTGCACATGTGATACCAGTAAAAAGGTCTGTTACACAGGTGCTGTGCAGGGAGGATCTGCCTGTAGGTCTGAGAGACAAAATAACCTTTTACCAGCTTTTCTGGGTGGGAATTGTTTTCCCCTAAGACTTAGGGGGCAATTTTCATTATGAAGTATAGTAGTTAGTTTGATCTTTTGGAGCCAGTTGTAACCTGCAACTTCCATTTATGATTTTCAATTTAGAACCATGTTGCCTTTTTTAGTTTTGTAGGTGTGAAATTGATGTTTAACGTTTTTATGTCTTTTTAATGTGTTTAGGGTGCTAAGCTGTTTTACCTGTCTGGGATGGTTCACGGAGAATATCAAAAGCAGGAAATTCACAATTTGGGGCGGTTTATCTCAGTTATGAAATTCCGACCTCTTACTTGGCAAACGTCTCACCCGTATGTTCTTGCAGACAGGTGTGTGCTCTTCTCTGTTCTTCAATCTCAGCACAGACAGCAGCACCTTGCTGTGTAAAAAGAAATATATAATATTAGAGCCAGTCAGCTCCATGTGTGAATGGGTATTTAGTGTTATCTAAGTGGCTCTGGGGAAATGAAAGCCTACTCTTCAGGTTTGTGCCAGTAACTGTAGCCGTTCAGTTTCATGGTACATTGTAAATACTCGTGAAACACACACACACACACATAACACACACAGTACCCTTTTTCAAAAGATACTAATAGGAATGCTGGATGTTCTAACTTTTTTTTTTTTTTGCGTAGAATGGAAGAGTTGACAAACCCAGAAGACATTAGACTCAATCCCAAATGTGACAGGAAGATATCACTTTATGGATACTTGAGAGGAGCACACCTGAAAAACAAAAGTCAAATTCATATGCCAGGTAATCTATTAGATACTTAAAACTGTTTGTATGCTGATCTGTGAATAACAACACAGCCACTGTTATTTTTATTGTGGAATGATTTGTATCTTTAAACTGTACATTGTAGAATAGATTTTTAGCCTTTCTAAATGCATTTTATGCTTTTGGAAATTATTTTTGGAAAAATAAATCCTTGTAAATAGTTTTGCTTTTAATTGTGCGGTTTTGTTGCAATATTGGCAGTTTTTCAAAGGTGTTTCACTTTAAAAAGGTGCTTGAAGTGCAAAATGCACCAGCCCTAATAGTGAAATTAAATCTGGCTTATGTAAAATTTCTCATATTCATTGAATAAATTTAATATTTTAAGTGAGTGATTTAAAAGCTTAAATTCAGAAATATTTTAATAAATTTACAGACCTACTCAGAAAAGTAAGTTGCTAGTTTTCTTATTTAAAAACCAGCAAACAAACCCAAAGCTTTGCAGAATTGTGGTGAACTTAACGTGTGCTTCTCTGAGTTCAGTGGTAAGGCAGAAGAGCTGGATGTTCGATACAGAGCTTGCTTTGATAAGTCACTGAGTGCTGCAGTGTTTTGTGGTGTTTTGGTTTTTTTTAATATCTTCAAATTTCAGAATCAAAACCTTGTGAAAACCTTATTGCTTGCCTTTCTCTCACCCCAGGTGTAGGAGATTTTACTGTGAGTGATGTGAGTTTCCTACCAGACCCCTGTGCTCTGCCTGAACAGCAGAAGAAGCGTTCTTTAAATGAGAAAGAGAAGTTAGTCTATGCCCCGCTTTCAGGAGTGGGGGGCATTGTATATGATAAAGATGCTGTTTATATTGACCTTGGTGGAAGCCATGCTCATGAAAAAGAAGAGGTAAGGCAATGCTGTTAGTGATTTGAATTCCTTGCAAAATGTAGTTTTTATCCTTAGAGTAAAAATAAGTGCCTAAAAAATAAGCTTCTTCAAAATTATCAATCGTTATATATCTGTTGTGGGTAATTTCTTTTTTTCCTCTATTGATTTCAGAGGAGGGATATTTTTATCTCTTTGTAAAACATTGTGCAAAACGTTTGAAGGATCAGTTAATAATAATTCCCTAAGTATAGTTTCATAAACTTTCCAAACATTGACTTAAGATTTACAAAAACTCCCGGTACTAAGATATTACCAGTCTTATTTTGCAGGGTAGGGTGGTTGTGGGAGAACACTTACAGGATTTGACTGGTCCAAGGGAGAGGTGGAAAAGACTTGAGTTACAGATTGATTTCAGCTGTTTTCCTCTGTATTGTGCTAGATGTTAAATATATTTGGGTCTATGATAATGTGTGCTTGCTGATATTTACTGTAGTGGTTGCAATAGTGGTTGCATACTCTGCAGGAGGCCCTGTTTAATTTTTCTTGTATTAATATTGTATGCATTCTTGAAACATGAAGAGGGGAAGGAAGACCTTACTATTCTGAGAAAACATTTATTTAAAATGCTTTGGAATTTTTTCTTGCATATGCAGGTTTCTACTGTTTTAGGCAGATTGATGACTCTCTTAGTTGTTCATTAGACATTTGT